CGAGCGACTTCTAGAAAACACGAAGTATCGCCAAAATCGGAGGTACACAATGTCTCAGAGACGTCGTGGACAACCATGAAAACACAATTTTACACCTTTTCCGTTTACATTACCTTTTAGGGGACTTTTATCTTCCAAAAATCAGTTTTGGTACATTCGTCGATAAAATAGTTTCTGCGCCACTGTAGGTGTAGGGATGGAACCTGAGGGTATATTTCTCATCACAAGGGATGGTTCAACACATTAACAATATTCGAATGAAATTATTCATAATAAGTGGCTTTTGAAAATATATTTTTTACTCAAATAGAGAAAAAAAATGTTTTTCAAAATTCAGTTAAACCCCTGTGTCAATCTGTAGTCCTTGATGAACTGAAACGAACAAGCTATTGACCAGTTTTTTATCACTACTTTCTCCGGAGGAATCCTTTAAAAGAAAATATCCTATGAAAATAAAAGTACACACTTGGGACCTCTTCAAAGATAAGTTCATTTCAATCTGATATTGTTAATGTGTTAAGCCATCCCTTGTGATGAGAAATATACCATTAGGTTCTATCCCTACAGTGGCTTAGAAAGTAATTTTATTGACAAATGTCCCAAAAATGCATTTTGTTAGGTAAAAGTCCCCTTTATAGGCAACTATTGCCAACTATTACGTCTCTATTACCTCTATTACCTGTCTATTACCTCTATTACCTTTCTATTACGTCTATTACCTGACTATTACCTCTATTACCAAACTATTACCGGACGGGCGACCCGACTATTACCTGAGTGGATACCCCCTCGCCTGAAATGGTCTTTTCGTAAACTGTTGCCCATTTTCAGTGCATATGTACTTGGCCGATGTTGTCTTCTCAAGAAACTAGTATATTTTCGTATCTTCTTTTCTACCAGGAATAACTGACAGGCCAGCATTCCCGTACCGGCCACTGCATTTTTTGTCATTACCTCGCCGGTTCTTATGTAGAATGTTTTTGTTATAAATAAAAGTTCTTCTTCAATACTTTAAATTTATTACCTGTTTAATCATTCTATGCCCCTAAATCCAGAATAATAACGAAAAGATAGCTTTCAAACAGCAAAAACCTGCAAAAAAACACTTGGATAGTATGCGGGTTGCCTACCGACACCCCTCTGGGACCTCCGACTTTGAGCCCGGAGACCTTTTTTTCTGGGCGCAAATCTCGACTCCCGGTGTGTTGGCAGCATTGTAAGTTCGCCCAAGAACACTTTAGGACCTACGGAGTACCCGTGGTACCCGAGAAAAAAAGGTCTCAGCCTCCAAAGTCGGCCGAGATCACGGCGGAGATAAGCTTTTAGCACACTTTAAGCCCGGAGACCCTTTTTTCTGGGCTCACATTTCGACTTCCGGTGTGTTGGCAGCACTGTCGGGTTGCACTAGAACACTTTCGAACAGACGGGGTACCCGCGGCACCCGAGACAAAAAAGGTCTCAGCCTCCAATGTCGGCCGAGATCACGACGGAGACAAGCGTTTGGCCGACTTTGAGCCCTGAGACCTTTTTTTCTGGGCTCAAATCGCAACTCACGGTGTGTTGGCAGTATTGTCGGGTCGCCCAAAAACCATTTAGGACCTACGGACCCAGGACGAAAAAGGTCTCAGCCTTCAAAGTCAGCCGAGATCACGGCGGAGATAAGCTTTCGGCTGACTTTGAGCCCTGAGACCTTTTTTTTCTGGGCTCAAATTTCGACTGCCGGTGTGTTGGCAGCATTGTAGAGTCGCCCGAGAACCCTTTAGGACCTACAGAGTACCCTTGGCACACAGGACAAAAAAGGTGTCAGCCTCCAAAGTCGGCCGAGACCACGACGGAGATAAGCTTTCGGCCGACTTTGAGCCCTAAGACCTTTTTTTCTGGGCTCAAATTTCGACTTCCGGTGTGTTGGCAGCACTGTCAGGTTGCCCAAGAACACTTTCGATGGGACGGGGTGCCCGTGGCACTCGAGACAAAAAAGGTCTCAGCCTCCAAAGTCGGCCAAGATAACGACGGAGATAAGCTTTCGGCCGACTTTGAGTCCTGTGACATTTTTTCCTGGGATCAAATTTCGACTTCCGGTGTGTTGGCAGCACTGTCGGGTTGC